ATGGAAAGGATGTCGTCGTTGGTATCGTTATACTATATACTAGTTGGAATATTTGCAGGACTAACCAGGGTGGCAGGACTGTCCGCCTGTGAGGATTGGCCATACATACCTATGGTATTATCCTGGACAATACCAGCAATCTATAGGAGAACGGTTCGAAGTAATATAGTAGTTAGTGATCCTAGAAATATATTAGGAGAACAAAAACTAATTGTAAAAAAGCTCGATCATATCAATAAGTTTAACCAATTTGCCCACGTCGCGTTCAATGCTCTTTTTTCGATTGGAGTTCCTTGGATATCAGTGCTCATAGCCTACTTCATACCTCCAATTTCATATGGGTGTGCAGTAAATATCTTTCGGTGTTGTGTTCCATATGGTCATTAAACAGTATCTTGGCACTTTTAAGCCATGTGAGAGGTGAAAAAAGCGCAAATGGTAATGGATTATTCATGCTTTTTTTTCACTTGTGGTGTTATAGTGGCATTACTTTTGTTTGTCTGGGCTTGTTGAGCAACCAAAGATCTTGGTGGGTAAGCTTGTTCGGAAATTCTTGTGAACCTTTTGGCAACAAGTGTTCATAGGATTAAATAGACTCTTTCATATTACAGACTAAATTGTTGGGAATCTTTAAAAAATAATAAAAATAATTCGAAAACGCAGAGTAGATTAACACCTTTTTTAATTTCATCTTTACTAGATATTTCCTTAAATTTATTAGATATTCCTAGAATTACATTTAGCATGTTATCTTTAAATATTTATTTATTTTCATTATTTATATATACTGTAACACTGACATATTGACATAATTATTATTATTCGTAATTATCAATTAACTTTATCTAGTATGAAGTTAGATTATAATTTGTCCTATAATTCGACATTGTTGTCGGTAGAATTTGTAATAAAATCTAATAAGTCTGTTTACGTGATTATGAACGAAAGTTTTGAAGTGAAATTGCGATTTTAAAAAATTTATCACGTGACTTACATTTCATTTAGATTTTTTTGGTTTAACATTTAGAACATTTTTCTTTCAAATGAAAGATTCTTTATAATATAATATAAATAAAAGTATTAATAAATACAAACGCGTTATAAAAGGTAATAAATTTTATCACATAATGAATCGTAAAGATTATTAAATTTAGAATAGTTTTTGTGATACCGTATTAATGATCTACGGCACCTTATAGGCATTATGGAACTTTAGCCAAATCAATAATGTGATGAACAAATCTTTCCTGGTAACCAAAACAAAATTTTTTGATTTTTTGTACGTCATTCATTCATTCTTTTATATAATATAATTATTCTACTTTCATTTGTTAAAATGCATATTGTGCTTGGACACTGCAATTTTATACTAGTTGAAATAGTAAATCTTTGAATGAAAATGAGACTACCATATAGGGAAACAAAGACAAAAATTGGCGATTAGACAATTATTTACCGCGAAATCAGAGATATCATCAGGCGTCACGGCGCAGCCGTGACCCTGATGATGTCGGCGATTGAGC